GAATGTACAGGTAAAAACTACACTTGGAGTATTGGCTATGAGACCCAATTCTGTCCTGGCTAAAAGGTCCCTTGAAAGTCAAAGCAGCTATAAACATATATCCACTTAGTGAGGTCTCTGGCTACTGTATTCCTGACAAGGGGCACACTTAATTGGCATGTACCCTGAGCTTTTCAACTGTCTTCTTTCCTAAACCCTGGACAATTACCAATCATCTTGCAACTATGAATAAAAAAGTCATAAGCTCCAAATGACAGAGCTGGAAGCAAGAAGGGACTAAGATGACAGGTCATCCTGCAGTGTCTACATATTCTGCTGTACACATTCCTTGCTATGTTAGGAAAAAAGTTACTTCTTTCAGTAAAGTACTGGACACGAATTTCTGATGTATGGAGCCAGACTCAGCTCTAGTAGATGCAGAAGAATACTGGAAAATAAACCCATTCTAAGAGAGCAGAAGTTTTCAACTTAAGGGGAAATAGGATCTAGGTAGATCAAATAAATCAGTGTGACCTGGTATATATCAAGAAGGACATGGTGCTGAGGCATGAGGATCAAAAGTTCAAGGGTAAGATCTTGCTCAAAATAGTCTGTTTTTCTAAAAGGGCTGGAAGTAAATTTGGTGCTGGTGGCTCATGCCTGAATTTCCTAGCTATTCAGAAAGCTGAGATTTGAGGCTTGCTGCTCAAAGCTAGTCTAGGGCAGAAAAGTCTGTGAGATTTTCATCTCCCCTTAACTGCCTAAAAGCCAGAAGTAGAACTGTGGCCTTGAGTAAAAAAGCATAGGGACAGCTCCTAGGTCTTGAGTTCAAATCCTAGGACTGGCAAAAAAAAAAAAAAAGGAGGGGGGAGGGGCCAGTAGTGTAGTTCAGTTTTCAAGCACTTGCCTAGCACCTACGCAATACCACCAGCAAATTCCAGCCAAGTGTCACCACAAAGGAATGCCAGCCCATCATTCCTGATGGGTGAGAACTTCCAATTTTCATGAGAACAACCAAATCTAAATGATTTTGTGAATTTTCCAATTTATTAAATGATAACTAAATTTTAAACTTGGCACAAATCAAACATGTATGACTGAAGGCTAACTTCAGCCTAAAAGCTTTCAAGTTTAATAGTTAAGAGAAAAAAAAACTAGTAACTTTAAAAACAAACAAAACTACAAGGTATAGTGAAGTAATAATGATTAGCAACATGCAGAGCACTCATGTATCACAGTATTCAGGGCTTTCCATGTATCAGCTATTGTTTTTGCTAGCCACCCTATGAGATATGTGATACTGTTATCCTTATTTTACCAGTGAGGACACAGAGGCATAGAGACTGATTAACTTGCTCAATCATTGGTATAATGGGTTGCAGCCTGGCTGTCAGCCCAGGCCTGCCGGACCCTGAGGCCTGCCTGGTACACTCTTCATAAAGAATGCCCACTGCAGCCAGAAAGCTTGAAACTCTGCTCCTCAAGGCTTGCCAACCTATGGGATAAATGAGTTGCAGCCCTCAATAAAACAGCAAAGCACTCTCCAAAGACTAATCCATGCACTAATTTATTGAATGGATGGATGCTTGTCATGGCTCCTCAGTTTATTAAAGTTAAATGCACATTTCATTCAATCTACACATCAATCTAGTGGGTACTATTTTCATTATTTGACAGTAATGAAAATAGAGGATTCCTGAGATTAGTGGGCTTAAAATCCAGACTATTAGCAGAGCCCTGATCTTTTGATGCCAAGCCCTGTGTTCTCTCTGCTTCTTCACAATAGCTCCCAACTCCACTATCTCAACCTAACTGTTTGAGAACAATTTCTACTTCACTCTAACATACTAAAGTAACCACAGTTGTTTGACAGCTTCCAGGTACCACATTTACATGTTCATGTATATCTTCACAGAGAATAAAGTCAGCAAGAGGGAAAAAATAAATATATTAAGTAATATACTCAGAGTCGGAATGTAAATGGGCACACACACAAGTCTTGGAATCTAATTTTAGAAAGAAACAGTCAAAGTCGCACACAGCCAAGTAAGCATCTGGCCCTGTGGGAGGCTGCCCACGTTGCTTGAAACCTCAATTAACCCAGGAAGGAAAGGCTGGCATCCTGGAATCCCAAAAGGAGCATCAGCTGGATAAGGTACAGGATGACTTTTCATCATGTTCTCCTAGAAAAGTATTATGGCTCAGAGTCTCAAAAAGAAAAACAAGCTAGTCTTCCTGAAAACTTGAAAGGTCTATCCCAGTCTGTAGGTAGAATTGAATTCTCACTGCCCTGAATCTCACCTAAGAAACCAGGGAAGGGGATGGTAGGTGAGTAAGGCCTGCTGACCTCAGCTTTGGAGCTACCTTGGTATGAGGGTCACCTAAGGCTTCAAGAGCTATTAAAGTCATTCCTGGACATCCTGGCTCATCCTAGGGTGACTCATCTATCCACTAACCAATTTCACAATTAAGTGGAACTTTAATTAGTCTCCTGCCTGCCAATGGGCACAGGAATATAAATTCCATATGGCAAAAGATCTTGTCTCTTTTGATCATTGAATTCTACTCAATGATATCTGGCTCACAATAATATTTGTGAATAAATGAATGAATGAAGGATAGGATGAATGGATCAGTACCACAATAGATTCTTCTAGATTCCTATGAAACAGGGTGAAATGACCAGAAACTGTGACAAGGTTTCCAGCAACCCAGTCATTTACTTTTCCTCCCTCTCTCTTGCATTTGAAGATGTTGCTTCACTGTGTAGGTCAAACTGGGCTCCAACTCAATCCTTCTGCCTCAGTCTCCCCCAAGTATCTGTCAGCTTTTTGCTCATTATTTTGGAGATAGAATCTAGCAGACTTTTCTACCCAGGTTGGCCTTGAACTGCCATCCTCTGGATCTGAGTCTCCTGAGTAGCCAGGATTACAGGCTTGAGTCATTTCTCTTGAAAGACATAGACTACTGAAGCTAAAGCTCCCCTAAGATCTGGAATGGTCCTCTCATGACTCACTATCTGCCCAACCCCTACTCAGCTTCTAACATATAAAATATACACTGGAAACTCTGCACATCCCCTTGGCAGTTGCAAGTGCACATCTATGCCAGGTATTGTGCCAGGTACTATGATAAATGAGAGGATAAAGCAGTAAGATACACCTTCTGCATTTCAGAAATTCACATAAGAGAAGCAGGCAAGAAAAAACAACTGAAAAACAATATAATGTAGTAAGTACAATAATGGGAAGGCCAAAGTCACAAACCAACAAGCCTCTGGCCAAAACTAGATCATCTGATAACATAATTTGCATATCAGTGATAACTTACAAAAAAGTGTTGCTCTCATCTGATACTTTAGACTGCTAAGCTAAGAGTAGAGCTTGGGGGTAGAGTGCTTGTCTATTATGTGCAAGACCTAGGGTTCTATCCCCAGCACGTACACATATATACACACACAAAAAGCAACAAGCTGGGCATCGGTGGCTCATGCCTGTCATCCTAGCTACTCCAGAGGCTGAGATCTGAAGATCACGGTTTGAAGCCAGCTGGGGCAGGAAAGTCCATGAGACTCTTATCTCCAATAAACTACTGAGGAAAAGCTGGAAGTGGCATTGTGGCTCAAGTGGTAGAGCACCAGCCTTGAGCACAAAAAGGCTCAGGGACTGGGCCCCGGCCCCGAATTCAAGCCCCAGGACCAGCCAAAAATAAAAAAAGTAAGAAGAAGAAACAAAACAAATAGCAACAATGACAATAACAAACCTTCAAGCTAGCTTCTCTTGAAAAATCTGATCCATCACAGTAATCTGTTTGCCTACAGCTTCAACCAGCTTCACTAAGTAGCAGTTGTCCCTGTGGAAAAGGCACCTGCCCCACAGTTTCTAGTACCTCCACCACAATGTGCCCCCTAGGGTCACAAGGCCAAGGGCTGGTCACCAATTTTATCAGGCTGCCATAGTTATTACTGATTATTTGCTATACCCAATACTTACATCTAAGTGAAAAAAGGAAAGAAGACAAACTGGCAAGGACTCATTATCTTGCAGAACAGACAGACCTGGAAGAAGACAATGAGTGTAAAATGGGACCAGTCCTAAGGAAGTGACAGGAGGGAGCTCTAAGTCAGCCAGCAGAAGTCAGGGAAAACTAACAAAAGGGATGGTCTTCAAGTTGACCCTTGAAAGGCAGATTTTTCAAATAGTAAGAGGAAAGTAAAAAGAAGATGTGAGTAAAAGAGAGCCCTGGTCAGGGCTGGGAATATGGCTTAGAGATAGAGTGCTTGCCTAGCATGCATGAAGCCCTGGGCTCATTCCTCAGTACCACATAAATAGAAAAAGCTGGAAGTGGTGCTGTGGCTCAAGTGGTAGAGTGCTAGCCTTGTGCAAAAGAAACTCAGGGACATTGCCCAGGCCCTGAGTTCAAGCCCCAGGACTGGAAAAACAAACGTTTTGATAATAATATTGCTCATCTCTCTCACCCACCCTTCTCAAAGAAGCAAGGTGATTCTTCCCAGAGCTCCTGGCCACTAGGAAGTTTCCAGGGAAGCAAGGCGAGTAAATAAGCCCTTTCTGCAAACTGCAGAAAATACAGGTCCCTGCTGAGAGCAAATATATAATCCAACCTGATCATCTGCATCTACCATTGGCATTTATTCAACAGGAATTAAAGCCTAAATTTTGACTGAAAGATAAAGACTGAATTTTGAAACTGCCCAGACCCTTGCTGCAGCTAAAATTAAAAAGTTTGGTATAGAAACTAGTCTGTCCTCAAAAAAAAAAAAAAGTTGCTCCTCTCTCATTTCCTGCTAATTGGAAGAGAATTCCAAAACCAAGATAAGAGGAAGGGCTGGCATGCCAGAGAAGTATAGAATACCAAATCTTTGTTCATTGACAAATCACTCATTCATAAAGAACATTTCTGCAGTGGTTTTCTGTTCGTATACTGGGGATTAAACTCAGAGCTCCCAGCTGCAAGTGTTCTCCTCTTGAGCCATACACCTCGTTTATTTTTTTAGCACTCACCTCTCCAGTCAGAGGCAATGAAGAATTCTTGCTACTGAAATAGTCCTCAGCTTGGGCTGGTTCTTGTTGAGCTCGGCGACCCATCTTGGCGCCCTGGAAAGACAGATAGAGGGTAATGCTGATGGTGATCAAACGTTATTTAAGCCATTATGAGGATGGCAATTCTGGGAAGGTAAGCAAGGACCATATTTAGGATGACATGATGGAGAATGGTATTTGAATAACTTGGATAAATTCATACAAAGTGTTCTAACTCCTTAAAACCAGGTACCTGAGGTTAGTTCTATTAACTAGAAATGGGCTTGTGACAATGAAGTTTACTTTTTAATACCTATAGGGATGGCAAAAACAAAGTTACTTTTCTACTTAAGACTGCAGTTAAGCTGGGTGCTGGTAGCTCATGCTTGTCACACTAGCTACTCTGGAGGTTGAGATCTGAGAATCACAGCTCAAAGCCAGCCCAGGCAGGAAAGTCCATGAGCCCCTTATCTCCAGTAAACTACTCAGAAGAAGGCAGAAGTGGGGCTGTGGTTCAATTGGTAGCACACTAGCCTTGAACACAGAGGAGCTCAGGGACAGAGCCCAGGCCCTGAGCTCAAGGCCCAGGACCAACTGGCAAAAAAAAGGGGGTGGGGGAGAAAAAAAAGCAGCTTATTGAGCAGATGAATCATTTCTGCAAGTAAATAAATATTATTGATAATAGGCAACTCCTTTTCTTCTCAAGGCAGACACTTCTATTTCTTCACCCAAGGCTCCCCTTTTCCATTTGTTGTAGTATCTAAATATGATATATGACATATAGTGTGTTAAAATCTCAAAGATGCCTCTAATTGCTGTTTATTAAAGCTCTAACAACTGACATGTGTTTTAAGGTTTTAAACATTTTGAAACTCTTGTCTTTAAAAAGGTTAAAAAATAAGGTTAAAAATTAAAAATTAAAAAAAAAACACAAAACACCTTAAACCTAATTTATATAATTTGAAAACTGTCTGTTTATTGCCTATTTCTTCTAATAGGACAGAAGACCCATGTTTTGGTCCCTGCTGTCTATCAGTTAGGTCAATGAATGACAGAGTAGGGCTCAATATACATTTATGGAAAAGAATGAGCAAGTATAGCCATATCCTCAGATAGATAGTAGAAAAATTCGTGTATCAGAAAGGCCAGATAAGCTCCATATTCTCCTTAGTCAAATAGCCTGCTTCATTCTCTAATTTGCCCATCCCTGGGAGAGGTGTTCCTCTCTGTATCTTGGAGAGAAGACACCCAATGCTATTCCACAACTTTAAAACACTTCCAAAGTTTCACAGCAGATACTAAGGCCTAACCTGTGGCCCAATCTTTTAGTGACTACAATCTTGACTAATTTTAAGGGTTATACCTTGGCGTTGGTGACTTATGCCTGTAAGACTAGCTACTTAGAAGGCTGAGATCCGAGGATTGTGGTTTGAAGTTAGCAGAGGCAGGAAAGTCCTTGAGACTCTTATCTCCAATTAAACACCAAAAAGCTTGAAGTGGAGATGTGGCTCAAGTCATAGAGTGATAGTAATGGGCAAAAGAGTTAAGGGACAGAGCCCAGGCCCAGAGTTTAAGCCCTAACCAGTTACTGGCAAAAACAAAAAAACAAAACCCAAAAGGCAACACACACACACACACACACACACTCAAGTTATAGAGGCCTGAAAGGAGTTGTGAATTCAGGTCTGGAATTAAGTTCCATCATTTACTAGCTATCCTAGGGTCAATCACAGCTCTCGGAGGCAACCACAGCTAAGCTCTTCAGGTAAATTCACACACATCTAGCACTGTATTAAGTGCTTTCCATGTATGCGTCTTCACAGCAGAATGTCCATTTCGGGCCCAAGGAAACTGAGGCTCGGGAGAATTACGCGTTGTTTTGTTTTGAAGTTTTGTAACAGTTCTATACTCCGTATGACTTCGGGGCCTAATCTCTCCGCTACATTATAAATCGTTCAAAAATCTTGATGACTTCCAACCATGAAAATGAGGCTACCCCCATCTCGCTAGGGGTGCGGGTCTGACAGGGAGGAAAAGACCTTCCCCCAGGCCTCCCCGCCGCGCCCCGGAGCCTGGCAGCTTTGACCAGAGCAGCCCCAAGGGAAACCCGGGATGGGGGGCAGGCGCGAGGGTCGGGTCCAGGCCGCTCCCGCCCGTCACCCCGGGAGCCGGCGGTTACACGCCAGGCTCGCCCTGGGGGCCCCCGGCTCAGAAATCCCCCGTGGTCCCCGTGTTTCCCTACGTGTGGAAGGTTTTCAGGAAAGCCAGCCGGAGCCTCGGGGGCCTCGAGGGCGGGGCGAGAGGCCGCGGGGCCGGGCCGCCGCCGAGCGCTGCGGGGCCGCCGGCCCGCGACCGAGGCGCCTCCGGGGAGCCGGGCCGACGGGGTCGCTTCTCCCCACCCGCCTACTCCGGAACCCCAGTTCCCCTCCTCCGTCCTCACGGAGAACGCCGAGTCCCGGCGCACATCCTCGCCCAAATCCAGCAAGTCTTCCATCGCGGCGGCCTTCTGACGTCACTTCCTGGAAACCAAGCGACCCGACGCGTTCCTGACGACGACCCGCCCTTCCATCCCGATAGTTAAAGGGCCCGCCGCGCCACTCCTGGATGCCGCGTGCCAACCCTCCCGGTTTTTTTTTTTTTTTCTTTTAATTGTTTATTGTAAAGATACTGTACAGCGGGGTTACAGTTACGTGAGCAAGGTAACGAGCAGTGTTACCCCCCTCTTTGTCTTTCCCCCACCATCCCGTTCCTCCCCACCTCCCCAACCTCTTTCTCCTCTCCCCCCCCCCACCAAGTTGTAAAGTTCGTTTTCTACATAGTGCCTTGTACATCTCATTGTTACAGTGGGTCAACCTGTATCCTTGTTTCAGCTTTTTGTTATTTTAAAACACATCTTTCCTAAACTACCTTGCTTGACTTCCCACACATTTTTTAAAAACATATCAAAACTCACTGCTGCTCCTGTGAGACGGTGGGAAAAAGTTAAGTCTTAGGGACTGTGTGCATTTGTACCATCTGTACCCCTGCTTAAATACAGCTGTAAGTGCAAAGCAAGACACTGAGGCACTTGAGATAGCTTTATGAAAAGAACTTTCGTGATAAGTGCCAGAGTAACAGTTAATAACAGCAGTTATTAATGAAGCATTTTTCTCTAGCTCATACTAGTAGGTGTCAACCATTCTCTTATACTAATAGAGGGGAAGGAGCCACAAACTCCCAACCTTGTGGCAGTCAAGTTCAAATTTCATTGACTCTTACCAGGTGAGGTCCCTAAGTCAACACAAATGGGTTAGATCCAGGCTCTGGTCACTGTAACTCACCAAAGATGGGCTCTGACCTTGAAAATGAACAATATCTCTAATTTCATGCTGAGGGCAAGGCCTAGGTGTTCACAGGTTAAAAGCAAGGATTGGAAGTGGTAATGGTACCCCTAAAACAGAATGCCAAACATTTCTTACGCACCCATTAGGTTATTGAGGCCAATCATTCCTCTACATGTTTCCTAGGCAGAATTCTGTGTTCTGTGCCTAATGAGGAGCATACTGGCCTGAGAATCACTAGAGTTGACCTCTCATTCTAGCTCTGCTAACAAGTCTCTGTGTAAGCAGAACAGAGCCACTCTGGATCTATAATTAACTTTCGAAATTGCTTCTAAAGTCTCTTGCTCACTCATTCTGCATCTCAGAAAGAATATTCTATTAGACAACAATCTGATGAAAGAGTCATTGCCCCAAATCTAAGAGCATGTAACAGGGGTTTCCAAACCTTGCCCAGCACCTGAATCATAGGAGAGTTGTATTTGTAAGTACAGATGTCAGGCCCCATCTCAAGAAACTCTAATTTAATAGAAGTGGAGCTTCTGTGTTGTAGAAGGGGAAATTTTCTGCAATGTTTGCACTCATTAAGTGTTTGTTCGAGGATTTCCATAAAGTTTCCTCAGATCACTCTATTTTAAATCACAACACTCCTCTTCTCCAACCTGCAGTCTCTGTCCCCCTCCCTGTTTTTCACTATGTCACTTACCTTTTATCATATATATAATTTATGTATTCATTTCATTTATTGCCTCTTCTGCTGCCTTACTACTCCCTCTAATTTTTTGCTCCCTGAAAGGGAGTGTTTTGATTTATCCACAGAACCTAGACTATGCCTGGCATATAACAAATATCAAAACCATTTCTCAGACAGAGGCAGTATAGTATAGGGGTTAAGTGCACAGACTCTGGCAATGGATTTCCTTGGCCTAAACCCCAGTGTTGCCACCTACTAGCTATGTGACCTTAGACAAATCCCTTGTGAGTGTGTGTGTGTGTGTGTGTGTGTGTGTGTGTGTGTGCCAGTCCTAGGGCTTGAACTCAGGGCTTATGCCCTGTCCCTGAGCTTTTTTTATGCTCAAGGCTAGCACTCTACCACTTGAGCCCAGCCACACTTCTACTTTAGGCTTTTTGGTAGTTAATTGGAGATAAGAGTTTCAGGGACTGTTGGCTTGAATGGCTTTAAACCTAGATCCTTAGATCTCAGCCTCCTGAGAAGGTAGGATTACAGTCCTGAGCCACTGGGATCTGGCTGACAACTTTCAAAGCAAATCTACACCTAGGGTTTTTCATTAGTTCTTCATATGCAAATGAAAATAATGTCTACAGTAACTAGAGAACCTGTGTTCAACATCCTGTCTCACTGTTTGTGACTTGAAAAACAAAACCCCAAATTCTCTGTGCCTCAGTTTCCTCATCTGTCCTGGAGCTACATTAACGTTCAATTTGTGGAGGAAACAGGCTTCTTGGGAAGAGTCCATGGAGGCTGGAGTGAGGCGAGGGAAAAATTGGTCAGTTCAGGCACAAGTCCAGTGTGTGTGTAGGAAGACACCTGCTGGTCAGCTCAGGCACAAGTCCAGTGTGTGTGTGTGTGTGTGTGTGTGTGTGTGTGTGTGTGTGTGTGTGTGTGTGTGTGTGTGTGTAGGGAAGACACCTGCCCCCACTCAGCTACTCAGGACGGAAGGCCTGCAGCTCAGGCTGGGAAGAGCAAGTATCCCCTCAACCATCTGGGAAATGGGCTGAGGACGGTGGCCGGCTTGGCGCGCGGCGATCCTCCGTGCCCTGCGGGCCTCCCGGATCCGGGAGCGGCGCGGGACGGGCGCACGTGGCGAGCGCGGCGATTCCCCACGCCGGGCGCCGGGTGTGGTCTTCCTCTCCCGCAGCACCCCCACCCCCGGCCCCCCACTCCCACCCCGCCCAGCCCGGGTCCTCCGGGCTCGCGGCCGCCCGGGCCGGTCTTCACTGGCGGCCGGGCCTCGCCAGAGGGCACCCTCGATCTTCCGGAAAGCGCCACCATGTTTCCACGTCCCGCTCTCAGCTCCAGCCGGCCCGACTCCCTCCAGGCTGGTCCGCGAAGACTGGCGGCCGGACGGCCCGCGATCCCCGCGATCGGGAGTGCCCGCCGCCCCGCCCCGGGCGGCCCGGCCTGGCCCGGGGGCGGCCGGGGACGCGGGCCCGCGGGAGAGCGCGCACTGACAGCCGGCCAGGACGCGCGGAGGGGCTGCGGGAGCCGCAGGGAGGGGGCTCGGCGGCCGAGTAACTTTCCAGAAAAACAGCCAACGTGTAGCAGGAGTGACTCCAAGAGGGGAGGGAAAAAGGGGTGGGGGGGGAGGAAAAAAGTTCAGTTACCACGTCGAACGAGAGGACTCGCAAAGTATTTTCAAATGGGCTCGGCTTTTCCGGTGCCTGTTTAAAACATTAACATTCGTGCAGCGAAAGGGGCTGCGTGCGCCGGTCCCTCCCTCCCCCCTCCCTCCCTCCCCCACCCCCACCCCAGGCCCCAGACGTCATGGGAGGGAGGTATAAAATTACAGCAGAGAGAAATAGAGAAAGCAGTGTGTGTGTGTGTGTGCGTGCGCGTGTGAGTGTGTGTGCGTGTGTGTGAGGGAGAGAGAGAGAGAGAGAGAGAGAGAGGAGAGCTCAGCGTCAAGTTCAAGGGAATGAGCCAGAGAGGGCAGAGACAGGGGAAGAAGCCGGGGACGGAGGAATAAGGCGCTTTCCGGAGTGGACTGCAGTGAACTGCCTTCTGTTTTCTTTTCCTTTCTGACTTTTTTGGTTTGATTTTTTTTTTTTAAGAGAAGCAAAAGGGACACAGAAGCGATGGCCGAGGGAGAAGACACGCTGCGATGCGGGTGACGGGCGTCTAAGTGGATTCCTGGGGCTGATCTCCAGAGGCCTGCCCTCCCTCCCTGCCAGTGCACATAACCCCGCATGCATCCCAGCCAATGAAGACGGGAGGCAGCGTGAACAAAGTCATTTTAGAAAGCCCCCGAGGAAGTGTAAACAAAAGGGAAAGCATGAATGGAGAGACAAGTGTGTTCTACACTGCCCCCACCTTTAGCCGGGCCAGCGGCTACTGGGCCCTGCCTTTCCACACCTACTCACTGGTGATCTGACTGTTTGGTTCTTTGGTGGTTGCTGTTTTTCGTTTTGGTTTTTTTTTTTTTAAACCATCCCCCCCCCCTCTTTTTCCCCCTCCCCTTCCCTTATTCTCCATCAGCACAAGGCAAACCATTTGATTTTGAGTCCCAGCCCTTGGTCCTTCTGTGCCTTCTTTAAAAGACCCACTTTCTCCCCATCGCCAAGCGGTGTTTGGCAATATCAGATATCCGCTCTATTTATTTTTACCTAAGGAAAAACTCCAGCTCCCTTCCCACTCCCAGCTGCCTTGCCACCCCTCCCAGCCCTCTGCTTGCCCTCCACCTGGCCTGCTGGGAATCAGAGCCCAGCAAAACCTGTTTAGACACATGGACAAGAATCCCAGAGCTCCGCGGCACACACAGTCCGTTTCTTCGTCCTCAGGGTAACCAGCGCTTCCTGGAAGTCTTGAAGTTCTCGCAGTGCAGTGAGTTCATGCACCCTTTTGCCAAGCCTCAGTGTTTGGGATCTGGGGAGGCTGCCTGGTTTTCCTCCCTCTTTCTGCACGTCTGCTGGGGGCTCCTCTTCGCCAGGCTTCACTGCCCCCCCAGCCCCTCTCCCCGGCTCATACATGAAGATGTACTTGCAAAGGGCTCTGGTGGTCCTGGCCCTGCTGGACTTTGCCACGGTCAGCCTCTCCCTGTCCACTTGCACCACTTTGGACTTCGGCCACATCAAGAAAAAGAGGGTGGAAGCCATTAGGGGACAGATCTTGAGCAAGCTCAGGCTCACCAGCCCCCCTGAGCCATCGGTGATGACCCACGTCCCCTATCAGGTCCTGGCACTTTACAATAGCACCCGAGAACTGCTGGAGGAGATGCAGGGAGAGAGGGAAGAAGGCTGCACTCAGGAAAACACCGAGTCGGAATACTATGCCAAAGAGATCCATAAATTCGACATGATCCAGGGGTTGGCGGAGCACAGTAAGTCGGAATGCTCACTGCGTGTCTGCTCTGAAGGGGATGAACTGGAGTAGGGAACTGCATGGAAGGAGCCTGCTGGTGGGGGGGGGGGGCAACACAGCAGAGTGCCCCAGGGCTCACTGGCACCTAGGCTCTGGTGCTGGGTGGTAGGTGGGTGGGGAAGGAAAGAGCAGTAATGGTAAGAGCCAGATACTTCTGGGAGGCCAGGAGCCTCAGAGCCAAACGGCATGCTGAACTCACATCATATCCCTGACTGATTTTAATTTGGAATTACATTGTGCCGTCCAGGGAAACAGATGGGTTCCTGCCCATGTGACCATATGGGTAACTGTAAGCATATGGGTACCATCAAGGGCTGGGCTGCCTGGAGCCTGGACACTTTGCTCTTCTTCTTCTCGGTGTTTCCACAGCTTCGTGTGACACGTCTCCAGTTCAGTTTTTCCAACTCTTGGGAAGCATAGTACCTTGCCCCCAAATTAATGTCTGTCAAGCTTTTTGGAAGTCCAGGCAAAAGACAGCTTCTGGCTGCCTGAGTCCCTGGGTCTACCCCACCCACGTGACCCACGTGAGCAGTGGGGGGGAGGGGTATGCACACGTTCACATGTACCCAGACTTGGAGGTCATAGGGACTCATATGGCTTCATATATGCAAATGTGCCCCCCCCCCCCCCGGCAGTGGGCATGGGAGAGCAGGTCGTGGCTCTGGGAGTGTAGAGGAGGGCTTGGGAGCTCTTTGCATCTGCCTGTCTTGAAGAGTGGGTGGTGGGCCTGGTGGCAGCGCAGGGGGGAGGGGGGCCGGGTGGCTGCAGGGGTGTGAGAGTGGGAGTGTGTCTTCCCAGGAGGCTCCCATCTGCTGAGGAGCTAGGAAGCTTCTGGGTGAGACGGCTGTGTGTGTTTGTACACGTGTGGAAGTCATGTGTGTTTACTGAATGGGGATTTAAAAAACCTCAATACAAGAGAGAAATTTGGCAGATGCTGAGAAACCAACAGCCCAGGAAAGAGGAATGTGAGCCACTCATGCGCCAGACGCAGGGAGTAGCTCTGTTTGCTTTCCTACCAGCAGGTGTCCTCCGTGCCCTGGTTACCCCAGTCCAGGCCCACTTGGGAGGTGAGCTGTGCCTGAGTAGGGGTGGGAGGCTGAAGTGGAGCTTGTAGGGTAAGGGTGGTCATGGGCTGACCAGGAAGATGGCTCAAGAGAAGAAACAGTGGCTACCAATGGGTGGACCAGCTCTAGATAAAGGTGAAAACTGCCCCATTGGGAGCTGGCCTATACTGGGTGGAGGAGCCTGTGGTTTCTGGCCAGGGGTTCCCATTGCGGCTTCCTGTGGCTGCCTGGAGTGCTCTGCCTTAGGATGTGGCTACCATGCAGGGCTAAGGCTGGAGGAGGTGAGGCAAGAGTTAGAGCTCCCTGCCCAGGGGTTCTGAGTGGTGCTGGCTTGGGTCTGCCTGGCAATGCAGTGCCCACAGACACCTAGCAGCTACATAGCTGAATCCTCAACTCTGTGGTCACTCATGAAAGCAGAGGAGAGTAGTCATCTGAGGCCAGCAGGAGAAGTCTATGGAAAGACAAGGGTAAAGAGGGGTGGGGGGCAGGGAACCACTCAGACCTTCATGGCTTGAATGAGGACGAGGAACCTAAGGGAGAGGGGATTGGGAGACAAGGCTACACAGGTGGGGCAGACTCTGGGCCCAAAGGGAGGCAGCCTAGGGCAAGGGCAGAGCAGGGCCCGAAGGGTGTTGAGCTGCTTCTGCCTGTAGGGGTAGCCATGGGGTTGTGGAATGGTGGTGTGGTCTGGACCAACTCTGCACAGCCAGCAGAATGCTGTTGTGGGTGGTGAGGATGTGTGGGTGCTCAGTGGGATGCAGGCAACGCTTACTGGAACCTTCAGCTGCCAACAGGAAGCAGGCCCAGTCCCTGCAGCTGTAGGAGGTGACGTGGAGCTTGAGCAGATGTGGACCTGGGCCCGCCCCCCGCAGCTGGCCAGGTGCTGAGTTTGCCCTAGACTCACAAAGCACACTTAAGTAGAAAAGAAATACAAAAGCCCAGCAGGTGCTGAGCGGTGGAGAGCCAGTCCCCAGAGGTGTGGGAGAGGGACACCTGTCCTTAATTCCTGAGGCCAGGTGGAGTGGGGGCGTGCGGGGATTCTGGATCCGTGATGTGGCACCAGCAGGGTGTTGGTGCCAGAGTAGGGGTCACGAGATGCCATTCTCTCACATTTAGCACTCTCAGCCACCTGAGATGGACAGTCAGAAGGAGGTGACAACAGGAGCTGTAGTGAGAAAGTAAGGGTCTTTGGGGAGGAACACGAAGAAAGAAAGAATTTCTGGTGGTGCGAGTGGAAAGGCAGGCTATCCGGTGGCTCTGCCTTGTTGTGCATTCTTTTGTCACTCAGTGTATAGAGGGGATCAAACTCATTTCATTAAATAATTTGTCCAAAAAGAGCAGGGTTCTCACCTAGACAGGATAGGTGCAGAATATGTGCTATGAAGTACCAATATACATGGAAAATGCATTATTTGTGTGTGTGTGTGTGTGTGTGTGTGTGTGTGTGTGTGTGTGTGTGTTGCAGTACTGTGATTTAAATTCAGGGCCTTGTACTTGCTAGGCTGAAGCTCTACCACTTGAGTCACTCCTCCAGCCATTTTTGCCTTTTAGTTATTTTTCTAATAGAGTCTAATTTTCTAATTTTGCCTGAGACATCCTGGCCCATGATCCTCCTATTTACACTTCCTGCATAGCAAGGACAAACAGACATATGCCCCACACCTAGCTTTTCTAGGTTGAAATAAGGCCTTTTGAACTTTTCTCATCTGGGGGCTAGTGTCAAACTATAATCCCCTTAATCTCTGCCTCTTGAGCAGCTAGGACTACAGGCATGAGCTACTGTGGCAAGCTCTAAAAGTTCACTTTTTAACCTTGAGGCTCCATAGAACTTTGATTTAGGACACAGCTAAATTCCATGTAGATCTTGGCAAGAGAGGACAGATGCAATAAATTGCCTTAATAACCCAGGTGGTAAATTGATTGGGGATACTACTAGTTTTGTTCAGAGTTCTCGGTGGTGTTTTTGTTGTTGTTGGTAGTGGTTGGTTGGTTGGTTGGTTGATGTTTGTCCAGGTAATTAATATTGCTACAAATGTTCTCCCAAATTTAATGAAAGAATTTTCTTTATCTCATGAAAAGCCTCAAGTAGGTCAAGCTGCCGGAGGCAAGTGAAAGTTGTTTCTCTGTCTCCTCTCCTGTAACATCCGAAAGGACCTCTAACTTCCCTTTCTCTCGAAAGAATTTTATCACCAAGTCAGATGGTTCACTTACCTCTGCTGGAGAGTACAGGCAAGACTCTGCAACCTTTCACTTCTCTAGGATTTTGCCATGGGCAGTGAGTAGGCACCTTCTATGAGCTACATGGTAGGGAAAGATGCCACCTTTCCAGTGCCTCTGTCACCAAAGGCATCATCAGTGTAGGTGACAATTTAGCTTCTGTCCTAGAATTACCTGTGTCTGCTGGGCAACGCTTGTTTTGAGCCAAAGGCAGACAATCAACAAACCCAGAATTCCTGAGCAAAAAAAGAAAACTTGGGGGCTGGGAAGGTGGCTCAGTGGTAGAGCGCTTGCCTTGCATGCATGAGGCCCTGGGTTCGATTCCTCAGCACCACATAAGAAAAAAGCAAAAAGCTGGAAGTGGTGCTGTGGCTCAAGTGGTAGAGCACTAGCCTTGAGCTGAAGAGCTGAGGGACAGTGCCCAGGCCCAGAGTTCAGGCCCCATGACCGGAACCAAAAAAGAAAAAGAAAAAAGAAAACTTGGTATTTTAGCCTTTAGCTACTAACCATAGATGTTGTTCATGCTAAAAATTAAAATGTCTCATGTTGGAAGAACTCATGAGCCTGGAGGTTGATATTGTATGTACAGTATGGCAGTGATTCTCCAAAGGTGGCCCAGAGGCGGCGGGTGTGGATTCCCAGCCCCTGCTTCTTCCTGACACCATCACAACTTCTGGGGATGGAGGTAGCGTCCTAGAGAGCCTGTGTCTTCAGCAAGCGTAAGCTGCAGGGAATGAGGGAAAGCCTCTGGCTAATGCAAGGACCTAAAGACACAGGCAGGGAGGTCTAGAAGAAAAGCCATGGTCCAGGCACCATGATAAGACACAGGGACACTTGTGCACTTGGGATCGTGGAGAACATAGGTGTGTGGCAGGGGGGAAGGAGGGGACCTGGGAGGCCTGAGACCCGTAGGAAGAGGAAGTCACTCTGCTTAGCTCCATCTGATGTTTACCTTCAGGAATGTGGGACCAACTTGACAACATTTTGTCATTTCCCCCAAAGAACAGAAAATTCTGGGTCTTTTTGTCAACATCTCCCAACTTGTCACATACACTTAAAATGTTTATGGGCTTCAAATCCAGACATTTAAAACATGATGCACTGGTCAAATGATACATCTAATGCACTTAAAAGTTAATCTATGTAAAGTGTAAAGTCCTTAAGGCAGTGGTTCTCCAATTTCTAGAACCTCTGACGTAGTGGATTATAAACAATGGTTCTCAACTCTGTGTGTATATGAGAGTCATCTGGAGAACGAAGGAAGGAAGGAAGGAAACAAGGAAGGATGAAATGAAGGAAGGAAAGAAACAGGAAGGAAGGAAGAGAAAAAGAAAGAAAGAAGAAAAGAGAGAGAGAGAGAGAGAAGCAAGCAAGCAGGCAGGCAGGCAATTATAGACCCACCCACCCCACTACTGGGGTCTGTAGTAAGACCTTACGAGTCCCAGGTAGTTGTGCTACAGATCCAGGTTTTACATTGGAACAAGCCAAAAGAGGATGTCTACACCGAAAGCAGACCTAGCAGCCAGGTGTCTGAAAACATTTTAGAAGCAGTTTACTATTTCCTAATTTTTACATGAATTCTGTATTTGCCTAGTTTTTGTGTACTTATTTTTTGTTTCCTCTCCAGAGCAAAATCAAAAGTATCTTTCTGCTGGATGACTTCCCAGGGTCTCTGCTTCAATATATGAAGTGTGGTCAGAAGACCTGGGTTCCAATCCCATATCTCCCACCTCCTATCTAAATGATCTTGGGAAAAGCATTGCACTTTTCTGATACTAATTTTTCTCATTTGTAGAATAGCAAATTTTATCTATTCTCTTTACTTGCAAGAATCGTTAGAAAAGCAGATGAATTAATAAGTGTTGTGGAAAATGTAAGGTAGCATTATTACATTCTGTCATTCACACTCTGACTCTGATTCTCATTCCATCAATTATTTAAAACATCATTATTACTTGGCAGCTGTCATTGACCAGGAGATTATATTTATATTTCTTTCCACATAACGATGGTTATGTGGAGCTTTGCTAGTGCTAATTTACTGTGTCAGCTCATTCCTGTGTGACCTTGTCCAGAACCTTCTGGTTGGTCTTGGCTGTGTTTGTGTGAAGAGTTCATGTTCAGGATGACCTCCATGACAGCAAACGATCTTTCCTACCTCTTTCTTCAAGTGCCTTAAAAGTTCTATGAGAAGTTCATCTTGGGGCACAGATGTAGGAGTGATAGACTGGAAGAAACCAAGGAGGGATGGTCACTAGACTAACCTCTCTTAGCACATGGCTTTCTCCCTATCCTGGCTTCCTATGTCTTTTTTTTTTTGTTTTGGTCCGGTTGTGGGGCCTGAACTCTGGGCCTGGGCACTGTCCCTCAGCTCTTAGCTCAAGGCTAGTGCTGTGCCACTTGAGCCACAGCACCACTTCCGGCTTTTTTCTTTTTGCTTATGTGGTGCTGAGGAATCGAACCCAGGGCCTCAGGCATGCAAGGCAAGCGCTCCACCACTGAGCCAACTTCCCAGCCCCTGGCTTCCCATGTCTTAAACCCAGTCTGACTCTCCTCAGTGGCAGGTGTCATTTTTCTTCTTCCTTCTCCTTTTTATGCAGAGGTGCATGTCACCCTGACTTATCCTTTTTTTTTTTTTTTTAAAAAGCCCTGATACCGCCGGGCGCTGGTGGCTCACGCCTGTAATCCTAGCTATTCAGGAGGCTGAGATCTGAGGATCTTGGTTCAAAGCCAGCCCAGGCAAGAGAGACCATGAGACTCCTATCTCCAATAAACCACTAGAAAACCGGAAGTGGCCCTGTAGCTCAAGTGGTAGAGCACTCGCCTTGAGCTGAAGAGCTGAGGGACAGCGCCCAGGCCCAGAGTTCAGGCCCCACAACCGCAAAAAAAAAAAAAAAAAAAAAAAAGCCCTGATGCCTTGATATATTTGCTCTGGGCTTTACATATTTGCTCAGCTTGCTTGCTCTGCTGGTGTTCTACCACTTGAGCCATGCCTCCAGCCCAGATTTTTACTGGTTACTTTGGAAGCTGCCTTCTAACTATGATCCAATGGATCTCAGCCTTCTGACTAGACTACATGTGTAAGCCATGGGTACTGGCCTGAGTTGCTCTTTATGGTTACTGTCCCTGCTTGGATGACTGAAACCAGATTGAAGTCAGCTTGGGAGGGTCATGAGTCTAAGTAGCTTATCCATGTCCAGAGTTGTAAACTTGTCAACTTATTTATTACATTGTGTAGCTCAAGGGTTAAAGTACTTGCTATGCTCGAGGCCTTGTGTTCTGATTTCTTGCTCTTGTTCTGTATTTGTTCTTTCAAGGCCAGTTATTAATCAGGGCATCATTAACTGCATTCACACATTTGTTTTCCTAACATCTGTTCCATTAATTTCCTAAGATGTCAGACCCACCAGATGGCAATTTCCAGAGACACACTCATCCTTTCCTAAAGATCAGTAGCACATTTGCTCCTTCTTAGTGTCTGATCTGTCCTGCCTTGTCCATGACTCCCTAACCCACCCTAGGGGTGATTATGAGCTCATTTCAGCCATGTCCATTATGTGTGGAATCTTGGTCCGTGAGCTTGAATTTCAAGTTCTGGCTACTGTTACCATTTGGGTAGAAATGTTTCTGTGAGTGTTCACACTCCTCAGATCCTGAGGTTGTAGCATTCACAGGAGCCGAGAAGGGTCTGGCTTGCTTTCTTCTTTAATTGGTTTGGAGGGGTGAGTGGAGAATCTGCTACCTTCTGTCTAGTACTCAGGGGAAAAAGTTGCAGGAAGTAGGGGACACAGGCCAGCATAACAGGCTGTCAGAGACACAGACTCTGTGTGTGTGTGTGTGTGTGTGTGTGTGAGAGAGAGAGAGAGAGAGAGAGAGAGAGAGAATGTGTATGTGTTTGCTACCATTTGAGCTACATCTCCACTTCTGGCTTTTTGATGGTTGTCTAGAGATAAGAGTCTGGGATATCAGCTTCCTGAGTACCTGGGATTACAGGCGAAAGCCACTAGTACCCAGCTCAAGGACACAGACTTAAAAGGACCAATGGTAGCGACTTAGTCACTCAGTCACTCACTCATCTGTGTTTCTCTTAGGTTCAAGATGTGGCTTCCTTGCTGTATGAACCCTGCTTCATACAAGATTGACTCATGATGTTGAGTCTGTCACTGTGCTGCTCAAATTCATCCTTCCTTCCTTCCTTCTTTCCTTCCTTCCTTCTTTTTTTTTTTTTGTCGGTCGTGGTGCTAGAATTCTGGGCCTGGGTGCTGTCCCTCAGCTCTTCAGCTCAAGGTGAGCACTCTACCACTTGAGCCACAGAGCCACTTACAATTTTCTGGTGGTTCATTGGAGATAAGAGTCCATGGGCTTTCCTGCCCAGGCTGGCTTTGAACCATGATCCTCAGATCTCAGCCTCCTGAGTAGCTAGGATTACAGGCATGAGCCACTGGCATCGGCTGCTCATATTCTTTCTATAGCTCTCTGTGGTGGACAGGATGAATCCAGCTTCTCAGCATGACATGAGGGTCTCCCTGCAGGTGGCCCCCAGTCTGCTGTCCAGACCTTCCTTTACCAGGCTGCAGGTTTGTGGCTTTGAGTCCCTCTTCCTCTCCCTTTACCTCTTTGAATCACTTTCCCTGTAAACTTTCTTTCTTCCCCCTCCTTCTGAGCCAGTCCTCTCTTCCATGAAGGGCCCTGCTCTCTTCCTCTTCTTGTTTCCTGCAGCCACTCCTGGACTCTTCTCTCTGACCCTGCAGTCTGGGTCTATGTGTTAATGACTTCTCTTAACATTTCTCCCCTGGAAGGCAGGGACTGTGTCCATTCACTTTTACCTGCCCACGGCTAATGCTAGTGGTGCATAGTATTTACTCTGTAGATGTTTAATAAGTGAATGACTGCCCAAATGAACCTGGATGAAGCAAATATCTCTAAGATAACTACACTACTTGGGGGAATTTTTGATTTTGTAGGAGAGTAGGAAAATCAGGCTAGAGAGCTCAGTGGGTTTGGAATGTCAAGGTGGTGGGAGGAGAGAGTAATTACCCTTCACTCATCAGTCTTACTATTATGTCCTGGGGCTCTGAGGTCTCCCTGCTCCTCATTCAAGACTGTGTGACTCTCAGGTCACCAAGAAACTTCCTCCTATCTCCATCAGGTCTGAGGTCTCCGGCATTTAGGGAGGTGACAGGCAGGACTCTGGCCACTTGAACACGTGTCTGTTGGTGGCTTGCTATTGCTGAGAGGTTCACATTGTGTTCCATTCCTTTGTCTTCTAGATGAGCTGGCTGTCTGTCCCAAAGGAATTACCTCCAAGGTTTTTCGCTTCAACGTGTCCTCAGTGGAGAAAAATGGAACCAATCTGTTCCGGGCTGAGTTCCGGGTCTTGCGGGTGCCCAACCCCAGCTCCAAGCGCACAGAGCAGAGGATTGAGCTCTTTCAGGTACCCATCCCTAGGCCCAAAAGCCAGTTCCTCCACCCTGGGCAACCTTCCCTAGGCACAGCAGACCTAGATTTGAATCCTGGCTTCTCTGAGCCTCCGTTTCCAGATTTGTCATTAAGAGGGATGGGTTACTTGGGGTGTATAAAAGCATCTGGAAAACATTGATTTCTCATTGCTTTGTCCACCTGTCCTCCCTGGAGACCTACTTCTTTTTGGTATAGTATCCTGGCCTTGGGTAGTTATTCCTTTCTCTGCTCTGTAGATACTCCGGCCAGATGAGCACATCGCCAAGCAGCGCTACATTGGTGGCAAGAACCTGCCCACTCGAGGCACTGCCGAGTGGCTGTCTTTTGATGTCACTGACACAGTGCGTGAGTGGCTGTTACGAAGAGGTAGGTGGCCCCAGGCCAAGCATTTCAGGACCCGCTGTTCATTGTGACAGAGAAGAAGAGAAACTTGTGTTTCAGATCTGGGTTCAAAGCTTAGCTTTGCCACTGATTCTGTTTTTCCTTCATTTACTCAATCCGTGTTTCTGAAATGTTGTTCTAAGTCAGGCCTAAGTCGAAGTCAGGGGATTTAGCAGTGAATACACAGGTGAGGTCCCAGCGCTCATGGGATTTCATTTTGTTGGGACAGATACATACACATAATAAACAAGTGAACATACTAATGAGTAAGAACTGTGGGTAGGGCCTGGGAATATGGTTTAGTTGTAGATTGCTTGCCTAGCATGCATGAAGCTCTGGGTTCGATTCCTCAGTACCACATAAGCAGAAGAAAGCCAGAAGTGGCGTTGTGGCTCAAGTGATAAGAGTGCTAGCCTTGAGCGCAGAGAGGCTCAGGGACAGAGCCTGGGCCCCGAGTTCAAGTCCCAGGACCGGCAAAAAAAAGAAAAAAAGAAATGTGGGTAGTTATGCAAAATAAAAAAGGCATAAGGTGATAATGAGTGGGTGGAACCAAGATCAGATGCTCTGAGGAAGGGAAGCCTGCATTGACATCCAGCTGATAAGCAGGAGTCAGCCCTGGAAGGTCAGGTGGAAGGTAAAGTAAAGGCTGTCTTAAGCAAAGGAAACCTCAAGGCCCAAGTCTTCATCTGTAAAGCAAGTTGATTTGTTATAGCAAGTGGGGTAAAATGAGCTGGGACCATAGGAAATGACCTAGTATCTTTCAGGCTCAAGTGATAAGAGTGCTAGCCTTGAGCTGAAGAGCTCAGGGACAGCACCCAGGCCCAGAGTTCAGGCCCCAAGACTGACCAAAAAAATTTATGAATTTGTTCCATATTCTTCACTCCCCGCCCCACACACTGTATTATGCTTTGAACTCAGGGCCTTGCACTTACTTGCTCAGCTTACTTGTTTGGCTGGTGCTGTACCCCTCAAGTCACATCTCCAGCCCTGGTTATTTTGGATTTGGTATCTTGTGGCTTTCCCTGCCTACACTGGCTTTGATCTATGGTCCTCTGGATCTCAGCTTCCTGAATATCCAGGATTAAAGGCATGAGCCACCAGTGTTTGGCTTGTTCCATATTTTTGAGGTAAAGCCAACAGTTTGTGAATACACAAGAGCAATCTTGGTTGACTTCTAAATTTTTGGAATAGCAGGCAGGTAGTGGCATCTTGGATATAGAGAAGACTGGAAAAAGAGGGTGAGGGGCAAGTTCTGTTTTGGCAATTAAGTTTAAAAAGTCTAATGGTCATCCAAATAGAACTATACAATAAGTATGTTAAACTTTCCATGTCCTGAATATCTTACCCACTCACTGTGGCCCCTCACCTGGAAGATGACAGAATGGTACCCTTGCAGCATGCCTCATAGAGGTGTTTTAAGGGTCAAAGATATTTAGAAAATGTCAAGACTTTTAACGTATTTTTTTTGGGGGGGGGGGTCTGGTCGTGGGGTCTGAACTCTGGACCTGGGCGCTGTCCCTCAGCTCTTCAGCTCAAGGCTAGCGCTCTACCACTTGAGCCACAGCGCCACTTCTAGCTCCCCCCCCCCCCCCCCCCCGCTTATGTGGTGCTGAGGAATCAAACCCAGGGCCTCATGCATGCAAGACAAGCAATCTACCACTAAGCCACCTTCCCAGCCCAACTTTCAACATATTTTATAAGAATAAGCTTTCAGAGGGAAGGAGTAACACTGCCCAAAAAGAAATGTACTCTTTCTTATGTAACTGTAACCCCTCTGTACATTACCTTTATAATAACAATATTTTTTAAAAGAATAAGCTTTCAGCCAGGTACCAATCTGGAATCCTAGCGACTCAGGAGGTTGAGATCTGAGGATTGTGATTTGAAGCCCATCTGGGCAGGAAAGTCCGTGAGACTCTTATCTCCAGATTAAGTACCCCCCCAAAAAAAAGCTAGAAGTGGAGCTGTGACCCAAGTGGTAGCTTTGAGCAAAAAAAGCTCACAGACAGCCCTGAGTTCAACCCCCAGGACTGGCACACACACACACAAAGCTTTCATCATACCAGATAGAGGGGCTGAGGCCCAGAGTAGTTAAAGTCCAAGGTCATCCAGCTGGACTAGAACTTGAGTCTCTTCTCCATGTGTCTCATGACAGTGCTCTGTTATGTCTGTCCCTTACTGGTGAGGGTTATGCATGGTAGCCCTATCTGTTCTTTTCCCCTCTCACTGAGTTTTCCTCTATTGGAATGGGGGCATGGCTCAAGTGGTAGAGTACTTACCTAGCAAGAACAAGGACCTGAGTTCAAACACCAGTACTGGCAAAGTGTGAAAACTGAGTTTGGAAACCCTCATCTAAGGGGCCTCTTTGGTGGCTGAGTTGGCAGATGATGGCCTGGAGATCCTTCCTGGTCCTGGGCAAAGCCAAAGGTTGGGAGAACCCATGAGGCTCGGCCAACAGCAGCACTGTTTGGGAATTCTGACTCAGACGTTCTCTGCCTGGCCACAGAAAGGAGGGGCTGGGGAAATTAATCTCTTAGCTTCCCTGTCTGATTCGGATCAGCTCCACCTGGATTTCTTTGAAGCCCTGGGCACTTGGAGTTCTTATTTTCACAGCTGTAGAACTCAATGAGAAGCCTACAGAGAGAATCATTTCCATCCTCCTTGAGACATTAGAAAAGACAATTTTGTAATAAAACCTGTTGCTTCCTAACCCACCATCCCAACTGCTGCCAGTTCTGAGGTTGGTTCTTCGTTGCAAATGTCAAGTTCCCGCCTAGGCAAATTCTGCCTTCCTTTCTTCGGGAACATTAGACCTTTGCTTATACAGAGCTCAAGAGTCCCATCAAAGTTCACAGCCTCATGCCAGGCTGCAAATGGACTCCAAATTAAAGCCATGGTTGGTCTGGATGGATGAGGCTCTGCATTATCTGAGAGGTCTTGGAGTCACTTAGCAAGCATCTGAGAGCCTGTGTGCACCAGATACCCAAGCTGTGCCCTAGGTCCCAGAGCTGGCTGGAGCCCTGTCCAGGATCAAGGATCCTCACATCTTTGTGCTATTACTCTTAGGGTCTGCAGCTTCTTAGTATGTAGAGCCAGGCTGGGCAGGGACCCTTTTCCCCCGCCTCCCCGCAGCTTCATGGCTCAGGACAGGCTATATACTAAGAAAGCATAGCCATTTTGCATCTCAGTAAACATGTGGGTATCTTTCTCTGTTGTCTACTCTTTGCCCTTCCTTGTCTCCTAACAACTTAGAATGTGGGATCTAAGCAAGGCATGCTCGTATAGACCTATACTCCCAGCATTCGGGAGGCTGAGACAGAAGGCTTGTAATTTTGAGGCCAGTTTGGGCTACATGGCAAGAAAGACACTATTTTTTTTTAAAACAGTGGGATCTGGGTTTCTGGCACCACAGTTCATAGGCTAGGAATCCCAAAATTACCAACTACTGTATCTTGGGTAAGCCATTTGTCCTCATATGCATAATGCGGTGATTGCCCAGTGGGGTGATTACTGAGATTCAATGCCTGACAAGCCATAGAGCAGTGTTTGGCCTGCAGCAATGCTCCACAGTGTTGGTGATTATTGCTGTCATTTCTGTGTCTTCCATTGGCCAAGTGAGGCCACTCTGTCATGCTGACCACACGAACTTACTCTCCCCCACACAAACATCTGTCTGCTTTCTTACCCAACAATCAGAACGTGGCCACTCAAGGTCTCTCCTGGGCCTCCTCGGACACCTTGAGCAGGAAGTACACATGGTGTTCGGTGGCTCATTAAAACTGCCCCAGCTCCTTCTTCTAGCTGCCTTACTGCAGGGGGAAGTCATGGCTCCTTCCTCCTTTGTACTCACTTCCTATATTCTCCCCTGTGCATTGTAGGTGGTGACATTTTCTCTTAATACTGTCCTTTGAAAATGGATGACCATTTACATTCCCTTTCCTGGTGGCTACAATGGTCCCTTTCAGTTCTTTTCATAATGTAATACAAGTACGTGGAATATGGCAACTTGTGTTGTACCAAGGCCCATTCTGAGCTTTGGAAGCTCTTTCTGTCTCCTGTGACCCTCTGTACCACTCAGTTCCTGGCCCACCTTCACCTGATCACACACAGTGCTTTTCTCACTGACTCTGGATCTTACTTTGCAGAGTCCAACTTAGGTCTGGAAATCAGCATTCACTGTCCATGTCACACCTTTCAACCCAACGGAGACATCCTGGAAAATGTCCACGAGGTGATGGAAATCAAATTCAAAGGTAACAGTAATGGATGCGTGAGAGAGTATGGTGGGGCAGTTCATGGGACACGACAGAACAGGAGAACCCAGCCAGACCCCCATGAAACCAATGTTCTTCGTAGAAGAGATAGCTAACTAGTATATACTTCAGTAAATCTGCTTTCTCCCAAGAACAATGAACATGCAGATCTAGAGGTGAAATCAAGTAGGTTAGCTGTTCAGAGCCCAAAGAAACAAGGTCACCAGTTATCTCTTTCACAGTGTTAAATGATATAACATGTAAAGCAGCACCAAGGACACTCAACAAGTTATAGCTGTCTTCTTTCTCCCTAAAGTTAGTAAACTATGGTGTCCTGAACATGAGTATCACTGAGCTTTCCTAAAATTATCAGGCCTACCTGGTCCTTACCCAGGGGTTGTCTGAGACTTGATGATGATTTCAGGGTTCAGGCATTTGACCACATGTGTTTGTGTAGAGATGGAAGTAGCTGGGAGTTCTTTATGGGTTTCTAATATTTTCCCAAGGGCCTCAGCTTTGACAGTCTCTGGAGTTCAGAGAAGCTATCTTTTCCTTTCCTTGTCTCATTTTGGTCACCTGAGCAATGCCTGCCGTCAGAAGCTCATTTGAAAAAAGATGTGCTCTTGCCTCCTGCATCTTGTCATTCTTTTAACCTTAATTCTTGAATATTTTTTTTCCAATTTTAATGCCAAGGATTTCACATCCTAATCACAGAGCTCAGAAATTCAGAGCCCTGCCGGGCGCTGGTGGCTCACGCCTGTAATCCTAGCTACTCAGGAGGCTGAGATCTGAGGATGGTGGTTCAAAGCCAACCCGGGCAGGAGAGACCGTGAGACTCCTATCTCCAATAAACCACCAGAAAACCGGAAGTGGCGCTGTAGCTCAAGTGGTAGAGCGCTCGCCTTGAGCTGAAGAGCTGAGGGACAGCGCCCAGGCCCAGAGTTCAAGCCCCACGACCGACAAAAAAAAAAAAAAGAAATTCAGAGCCCTCATTTAGAGGTCAGGCCAAGGTGAAACTCCCCTTCATGTTAATATGTAAATTCTAATGCTCATGTCCTGTCAGGTAAAGTTTGATGAGTAGTTGGCTTCTGTCCTTCACACACTAGATCTCCAGCTAGTTGAGATTCTAAGTCAGACTTGTTTGTTTTTTCCTCTTCAGTTAGAAAAGGTTCAGATGGATTCAGGGCCTTTCTCAGAAAAAGTTTGCTAAGCCATGTAACATACACTCTATTATCTCACCTGAATTTTATAGTGAATACATGTCTGAAACAATAAGTACAATGTAAATATTTGCTGTCATTCAGTCTTGTTTCTTTGCCCCATCCCCATTCAAGCTATCTTAAATTGGGATACCTTACACTCACCCTGCTGGATTCTTGTCCCAGAATGAAACCAATAACCCAAAGGCAAGTGTTAGCTGTCCACTGGATGATAGAGATGCGTCATGGCTTCACAGTGATTTCCAGGAAGCATCTCAGGAAGGGCTTTCTGTCCTCTGGAACATTCTGTGCAGGATTTGTGGGGAGATCTGAGCACGGTTGTCGTGATTGTTGAGTTCTTTTGGTAATGATTGCTCAGCTCAGCTTTCCTACAGGAGATCCTGAGGTGCAGCTCACCCACCCACCCCTGCCCTCTCATGGATGCACTGACTCCCCTTGGCAGCAATGGGCCAGGGTGAGGAGACAGCCTCTAACAACTCTGCTTTTCATAGATTGGAGCTTGTCTTCTTCCTGCCCTTCTGCAGGGGTGGATAATGAGGACGACCATGGCCGTGGAGACTTGGGACGCCTCAAGAAGCAGAAGGACCACCACAACCCCCATCTGATCCTTATGATGATTCCTCCACACCGGCTCGACAGCCCAGGCCAGGGGGGTCAGAGGAAAAAGCGGGCCCTAGACACCAACTACTGCTTCCGGTGAGCCTGGGCCCCATGGGGGCCACGACGTACCCTGGGTCTCCTGGGGTGCAGGCCTCAGACGTAACCCACACGGAGCCAGATACTGCACTGCACAGAACTGATTGGAAACCTTTTGCAAAGCTTCCAGTTTTCCTGCACCTCAACTTCATCAGGGCCTGGCTGGAGCAATGAGGGAAAGTGTGAGCGGAGTGTACTGGGAAAATAGTCTGGATGGTGGATGCTTGCCTGAAGCCTCCTGGTGGTTTCTGTATTTTCAGTCCTTTTGGGGCATGCTTGTGTGGGAAGAAATCACTGCAGGAGTTTGCAGGAAATGCTTGCTCTGCTCTATTTTTTTTTTGGGGTCTGGTCATGGGGCCTGAACTCTGGGCCTGGGCGCTGTCCCTCAGCTTTTCAGCTCAAGGCTAGCACTTTTACCACTTGAGCCATAGCGCCACTTCCGGCTTTTTTCTTTTTGTTTATGTGGTGCTGAGGAATCGAACCCAGGGCCTCATGCATGCAAGGCAAGCGCTCTACCACTGAGCCAACTTCCCAGCCCCGCTTGCTCTAATAGAGGAAGCAAGGATGCCACTGGGTAGGGGAGAAATGTAGGGTAGCCTCTTTTTATATGGAAAGTCTGAGCTAGAGAAATTAAATGAATTCAGAAATTCTCGAGTAACCTTTGTTACTCAATGATGTAGATGGAGAAGACCCAGCTTCGTCCCTTTCCTTGGAGCAGATGAAGTGCTCACATACACAGGAGGGATGTTTTGTCTGTGTACCTGAAGGTCAGGGTGAAGTCCTTTGCACAGAGGGAGTCAGGGGTTCCAGCACAGATACAGGACAGGCTTCAGCAAGGGTGGGGTTTTAGTGCTTTGGAAGATGGGGGAGGCTTGGGGATGTAGGGATGGGGGAGGCAGAAAGCCCTGGGGGTAAGGGCAGAGGTAGCACAGGATCTGGCTGCACAAGCTGCCTGAAGCAGCCAGGGGAATGACTTGGGAAATCTCTGTGATCTGGAACTGTATCTGCGATGATCTACTGAATCAGTGAGGGATCTCACACCTGGAGAGCAGAAAGGTCTGGAAGAGGCTCTGTGGTTGCTGCCATCTGTCTGCAGGCTGGCATGTAGAAGTGTTCTGTGTGTCTTCATCAGTGAGACATGATTGCTTTTGGCTTCAAGCAACAATGAATTCAGCCACAGAAGTTCTATTCACAAGAGGTCTGTGGTAGCAGCTTTGGGTTTGTTCTGGCTGCATAACTGTGCCATTGAGGACGCAGGCTTTCCCATTTTCCAGCCTGGTGTGATTGGTATGTTGGCTCTGCATCCTCTCATCCGTGTCACAGTAATGTGAGGGAGGAGCTGGTCCATGTTTGAGACAAGAGCGGGGAATGAGCTAGCAGTATTCTCTTCCCTCTGTTGCTTTTATAACTAATCTCCATTCTCTCCCCACTCCTATGGTGCTGGGCTCAAACCCAGGGCCTTGCACATGTCAGGCAAACTCTGTATCACTGAGTGACATCCCCAGTCAGGTTTTTATAAATAAAAAATTCTTGGCCCGTAGGGCACCAGTGGTTCACATCTGTAATTCTTGTTACTCAGTGGGCTGAGATCTGAGGATCCTAGTTCAAAGCCAGCCCAGGTAGAAAAGTCCATAAGATCATTTCTAATTAACTAGCAAAAAGCCAGAAATGCAGCTGTGGCTCAAATGGTAGAGTGCCAGACTTGAGTGAACAAGCCAAAGGGCAATGCTCAGGTCCTGAGTTCAAGCCACAAAAAAGAAACAAACTTTGCAAAACCTTGACTTCATCCCCTGCCTCCTTCTCCTATGTCTGATTGGCCATTGTTAGGTCATATCACCACCTCTGCCTGCAATGGCCAGAAAAATGAGTAGTGTTGCAGACTGTCATGTGAGGTGGCATGAGAGAAAAGGGTTAGGAATGGAAACTTCAGAACAACTCTAGAGTCTGCTATGGTTCCTACGAGTCAGACTTTGGCCAGTCATTGTCTTTGCAAGTGGCACATTTCAGGTCTCAGCTGAAATGCACTGAAAGCAGAGGCTAGTTGCCCACTTAGCAAGCAGCACTGCCAAGTGAGCTCTTGCAAACAGGATCGAGGTCTGGCAACTTGGTAACCTGTAGATCGTGGTTCTGCTAGAAGGAGAGGCCTTGTTTTGGCTAAAGGTAGTCTAAAACGCACACTATATGGTAGTATGCAAGCTGCATGAGCTTAGAGTTTATTTCTAGTTATGCAGAAGATATCACTAAACCAATCTCAACAAAGTTGATTTGACTAATAACCTCTTGGACTTGCTTGTATATGGAGCATGTTATATACATTCTGATTTGTGGTATATAAGGGGACAAGACTTCCACCTCTTTACTGTCCCTTGTGCAGTATTCTATCTCCTATTACAACTTTGAGATCCTGGTTTTCAACATAGGAAAATGCCTTTGGGTCTCTTCAGCCCATGCATTTAAACCTGATTTCCTGTAAATGTTTTTCATTGTAGCAACTTGGAGGAGAACTGCTGTGTGCGCCCCCTCTACATTGACTTCCGACAGGATCTGGGCTGGAAATGGGTCCACGAACCTAAGGGCTACTATGCAAACTTTTGCTCAGGCCCTTGCCCATACCTCCGCAGCACAGACACAACCCACAGCACGGTACGGAGCAGGGTGCATGCTATCAGAATCCTGAGGGTCAGCCAACTAGGCCATTTGTTAAAAAGCACGAATAAAGGGTTGAATGTTGAATAAGTGAATGATAAGCTGGGTGAGTAAAATCCCTCTAATAAATGTGCTGATCTTGGCATCCCAGCGCAATACGAACATCCCACCAAGCCTTTAAAATTCCTATCATAGAGGCTGAGGGTGTAGCTCAGTGGTAGAGCTTATCCTTAGCATGTTTGAGGCCCTACGTTCAATCCCCAGAATCCCTTAAAAAAGTTTTGACTAATTTTTTTATTGGCTTTGACTAAATATTTTGAACTATGGAAGTTGACCATCATATGACCTGGTTGGCAAGGAATGTAAGGCCTGAGCCTGTAATGTGGCAGAAACATTCCATTACAGGCCTTGAGCCTGTAATGCTAGCTACTAAGGAGGCTGAGATCTAAAGATTGAGGTTTGGAGCCAGCCTAGGCAGGAAAGGCCATCAGTCTTATCTCCAGTTAACCAGCAAAAATCTAGAAGTAGAGCTGTGATTCAAGTGGTAGAGCACTAGCCTTGAGCAAAAAAACTCAGGGACAGGGCCCAGGCCCTGAGTTCAAGCCTCAGTGCCAGCATGCACTCGTGTACCATGTACAAAAGTATTCTGAAAGACAGTGAGGAGAGAGAGGAGGGGGGTGGGAGGGAGGGAGAGAGAGTGAGAGAGAGAGAGAGAGAGAGAGAGAGAGAGAGAGAGAGAGAGAGAGAGAGAGAGAGAGAGAGAGAAAGCGAGCTCAACCTCTGAAACTTGCCTTTCCCCAAGGGGAATAGAAAAGGGCAGTGGTTTGTTTGTCAGTCACATTTACTTATAGACAGTCAGGGCTGCATACTGTCTGGGCACTTACTAAATGGCCCACGACACTAGTTAGTGAAAACCTTTTCACTAATGTGATTAGTTACAGCAAGGAAGGGCAAAGGAGTTGTTTTCTTACTCGCAAAGCACTTCCTTATCAAACAGAAGTCCTCCAATAACTGCCACCTGTTTAAACTAGTAATTCAGACAAGTGCATGTGTTCTGCATTTTGCTCCAGTGGGTGAACACAAGTTGTCTCTCACTGAACTGTGGTCCCATAATTGTTCTTCAATAGCAGCAGGGGCCATTCTACCAGTTGCTCATCTCGGAGCCACCCTCTGAGTAGAGTTCCTGGACTGAGGGCTTGCAATCTCTCTCTCTCTCTCTCTCTCTCACCTCTAAATATTATGGTCTCCACCTCCAGGTGCTGGGGCTGTACAACACCCTGAACCCTGAAGCATCTGCCTCACCCTGTTGCGTGCCCCAGGACTTGGAGCCCCTGACCATTCTGTATTACGTGGGGAGGACCCCCAAGGTAGAACAGCTCTCCAACATGGTGGTGAAGTCCTGTAAGTGCAGTTGAGGCCCAGCCTGCAACAGAGAAGGGAGAACTGCCACTGCTGACGGCCCCGTTCCTTGGGAAACCGAAGCAACAGACCTCACCTAGAGGCCTGGAGCCTACAACCCTTGGCTCCTGGTGAACAGCTGAAATGGAGGCTTCCTTCTGGAACATTTCTCTTTCTTGTTGGCTCTGAGAATCACTGTGGTAAAGAAAGTGTGGATTGGTTAGGGGAAGTGAACTCTTTTAGAACACAGTACTTTTGTGGTGCAGACAGAGGTGTTGGGGTAGAGAAGAGGGAGGGCAAGTGGACACAGAGGTGTTGGGGTAGAGGAAGAGGGATGGCAAGTGGCAATGGGATTTGGGCTACCCTGGGGAGGAGGTGGGGCAGAAGGTGGCCAAACTGGAAGACACTTTGGATCTGTAGTTTGGGTTACTGGTGTGCCATATCTGCTTTGGGGACTCTGATGATGTTATAGGAGGCAAGATTTTTTTTTTTTTAGACAGGTTACCAAGACAAAGTCCCAGAATTGTATCTTGCATTACCTGGGATTAAAGACAACTCTTTTTGTTTTTAATTTTCAAACTGTCTTCTCTCCATCAGTCAGCATCTTGGCTTATTACAGGTACTACAGTGAGTTCCTGGGCCAAGCAACTCTATTGGATCCATGGAGATGCTCAATTCCGAAGAAAGGGTGGGAATTAACTTTCCTGTCTGCCCTCTGGGCCCCTCCTCCCAGCTTCTCCTTTGATCACACTTCCCCTGGGACATTTGGCTAGACACCTTCCAGGTCAGGGTGAAAGAATCTGGATTCTGGGTCCATGCAGCCTGGGCATCAGGGATTCCTCTTCTCCTGCCCTCTACGACCCTGTGTTCCTTTGATGTTCCTGGAAGCAGGTGCTATGTCAGGCATTGGGGAGCTCCACATGAACCACACAGTGAGTGACTTGGCCCCAGACGCATAGCCTGAGATATAAAAACAAATACAAATTATTACTCTAAAAACTTTTGTATAAATAAATATTTTGGGGGGGAATTGTGGATGATTTCATCTTCTGGGAGATTGTCTCTAGAACAGTAAAAACCTTTTCTAAGATGAATGTCTGACTCCGTAAGTAGCCTTCTTACCCTCTTATTAACTCCATGCCTGCATCTACTGTTCAGACATAACTGGAACCTAGGCAGATAATTGCAAAGGTCACTTCACTGCTTGGTGTGAGCGTGCTAGAAGGTGGCCGCACAGAGCTGCCTCTGCCATTGGGAGGAGGGCACTATTGTCTGTGCACCCTTCCCTCTCATGGAACATATTTTTAGACACACAGAGATACTGGCTCAGATTTGCACCAAGTTAACTTCCAGATAACTCTGAGGTGTGAACTTTTACATATGGAAATGTGGCTTGTGTATTCTAACAATCCACATCATCATTTTTGGAAATCTCATCTCAGCTTTCAAATGATTTGAACATTAGAGAAACTGTCTCAGGCAAATAGACCCAGAGGCAAATCCTGTCATTGAGTTACACCTAAAGGAGCCAACCTGGAAACACTTTTCAGACTCTGGGCCTCTCGCTTGTGGTTTGGAAATGGGAGAGGGCAAGAAAAGCGCAATTCCAACCACAGCGCCCAGGCCTCTACACAATTGTGCTGTGGCTCACTGGTGTACATCTGCTCTTGGAAATTATCGGCCATTTGAAGCAGCCTTCCACAGGGAGTGAGCAGAGCAAGGGACCCCCTCTCTCCCAAACCACCTGCCTCCAGCAAGCTCACATTAACACTGGTACAAAGTCCATCTGAAGCTATACTCCACAGGATGGAGGTTGTACTTATGCGCATGCCTGTATGTGTTTAGGTGTGTGCATACTTTGTTCCTTCTGAGGTCTCCAAGACTTTTTTCCCCCTGTTTTGTCCATGTCCAGACAGTTCTAAGGCTTCTCTGACTTTGTCTCTGAGGCACCCATTTACTTCTATTGTCCTTTAAGGGTTTATATGCCCCTGCCTGAAAATTCTGGCTGTGGGAATGTGCTGTCTTATCCCAGGAGCCAGTGGGTTGAGAAAGGGGTATGTGCTGCAGGCCAGCATGCCAGCCATGGTTGCTGTTTTTCCAAGTGTCAGTCTGTTCACTTGTGGCAGTTCTAAGATTTTAGCAGAGGATTATGTGTTTTGGCTGCAGTGTTAGAATCATCTGTATGCTGGGGTAGGGTCCAGGCCAGCTGAAAATTCCCTTGAGAGTAGTGCCTTGCATTCAACATTGGTGCTTACTTAGAACATCAATAAGGAAGTGGCCTGAGACTAAATCTCCTTTTACATCCAGCCTCACAGGACAAGGCTAAAAGGTTGGTCTGTCGTTCACCCTAATGAACCAACGCAACTGAGGTACTTCCTGAAATGTCCCAAAGACCGTGATTCCAAATGTTCTTTCATGTTCAAGCGCTACCCTTCATGTTAACCAGCAGATCCAAATATGGAAGGAGGTCTGGAACCCAGCCTCCCCTTTCCATGTACCACTGGTGGGCACTGTGGACACTTGAATTTTGATCTCTTCAAAAAGACATACTTGTTTTGAGGGCAGTGACACTGGGAATGACACTGCTGGAAAAAGGCTCCAATGATTCATCTGGTTCATTGCCAGTTCAAGTCTAGTACCAGTAAGAATGCCTTGAAAGTGCTTTGGTAGGGAAGACCTGGAGTCTGTTCCTAGCACCTGTGGGTCAGCTTTAACTGACTGGCCACGCAGGTCAACTCCATGCACTGTAGTTGCTCTAAATCATACCTTTGTATGCCTTTACCCAAGATTCACTGGTGAGATCCTCCAAATCTCTTAATTCTACATAGCAATAGGGAAATAGGAAGGATCTCAATTTGTATTCTATCCAACTCAAAACAAGTGAGTTAAGGTGGTCCTCCAACTATTACCCAGAAGACTCTGGGAAGATACGATACATTTCCCCTCTCCTGTAATTCTGAGTCCTTGTCCTTCCTAAGCAAACAAGATGCTTCCATGTGCTCAAATCTTTGTTTTCATTCACTAAGAAGGCAATAAAATCCTTTTTCTTTCTGTCTTCTCGGGTGTCATTTCTCTCTTTGGATTCCAGTGCTGAGTCTTTAGGACCTGCTGTAGCAGTCTGACCATGGCTTGTTTTCAAGAACATCCTGTTCAGTGGGCTCCAACCTTTCTCTAGGAAAGGAGTGGAAGTGAGTGAGCAGGGGCAGGGGACAGGGGTTGGGGCCATGCTGCACTATCTGGATGCACTGCGTGGGAGGCAGTGTGTGCCGCAGTGACACGGTCACATGCCATGCAGGACCACACTGGTGTGCCTGCTGCTGGAGGGCAGACTGGGGAGATTCGGCTGCACACTCCCACTTCCGGGATGCGGGAGCCTCCCTCTGGAGGGAGGACAGACCATCTGCTGAAACAAAATCTCTGGATAGTGCACATTTCTAAAATGAAGTTTAAAAAATTGGCAATGAAATAAAAAGGCCATTTGGTCCCGTTTTAGTCTTGTTTGTGAATGATTGTTAGGAAATTAGTAAATGGAAAAAAAAGAAAATAAAAATCGAATTACTTTATTAATCTTAGAAATCAGTAATTCCACAGGGTTGCCTGTAGCGTGGCTCACACCAGCAGCATGCCACCCTGTCTCCATGCGCTGGGGAACTTGTGGTGTGTGCCTCCCCTCCCCCCGGCCCTCTGAAAAGGGAAGAACAGCTCTGATAAATAATGATATGGAGACTTTAAGCTTGTACATAGAAAATGAAACTTAATAGTGCAATCTGGAAAAGAAGAGGAAGCAAAATGCAAATAGCCAAAGAGCCTCTTTTATATCATCTCTGTGCAGCAGCAGGAAAGGTACAAAGACCTAAGCAGGTTGGGGCGGGGGGGTGAGGGGAGGTAAAATAAGTATGTGCTGATGTGGGTGAGTGCAGCAGCTCGGCGTCCCCACTGCCAAGTTCCATCCAAGCTCAGAGGATGTGCTTTCCTGTTGTTTCAGTACAAGTCTGGCTTGGCTGATGGCAACCATCTACTGCCACTTCTGCTTGAGGGCCTTGGGGACTCTGAGGCCGCAAAATAATACCATGGACCCCTGCCATGCTGGTGGATGCTTTGCCCGCAATCTCGCACCCAGGAGCAGCGAATGGGTTCTTCCGGTGTCTGTGGTTCATCTGTCAGTGTGAGTGGGATCTGAAAAAAAGAACAGCAACCACTGACTGAGAGAAGAGGGTGGCTTCTATTCCTTTATAGGGACGTCAGCGACGTTCCCCTTGAAGAACATCGCTCAATTTAAACCAATTTTGTTGGAAACCTTCCTGAAACATTCATTTTCTGCCATTGCTTTTTGGACATTTTCTTCTTTTTCTGGGAGAAAAGGATTTATTTTAGTTTATTACTTTCAAGAGACAGGGCCTCATTGAGTTCTTCAGGCTGGTCCTGAACTCCTGGGCTCAAGAACATATAATGGAGATACTATTTCACTGGTCCTAATCTAATTTCAAGAAAATCACCTTCATAAAGTAATAATTCTGCCTATGGATTCCTTCCAGATCCAACAGAAACAGAAAGAAAAGTGAAATTATGGAAAACCTACAGTAATTTACAAGTTACCCTGTGCTTCAACAGTTCATCACTGGTAATGCCTCATAATTAGGAATAAATTAATAGCCTAACATTAAAAATGTACACTATAAGGTTAGGTAAGCTTGTGGAGAAGCTAATATTCTTTTTGCAGAATATTTATGAAGGCTGCTTACTATATATACATTTGTTACTTGTCATTTTGGAAGTCCTTTATTGTAAAGCTAATTCTTTTGTCTGATAGCAAACAACAGTTATAATGATTGGTCTGTATGTCCAGTGTGGGCAGATCCCGTTTCTTCTCAAGCTACAAGTTTCATTGTGTGTCTGAGGTCATGGTGTTAATACTTCCGCATGGTCTGGTGGGTGTGATGCAGTAAATCTGGGTGGTTTACTGGTTTACTTCGCTTGAATGTATGGAGACTAGAGAAGAGTGAGATGGGGACCCTGTGATCTCAAAGTGTTTCATGCACTGCAGTTTAGGATTGTGCCTTCTCTCAGGGAACCTAATTAATGAGGATTTGGACTTGACTACTTGAATGACCCTGTTGGCAGATGCTATCTTGCTGCCTATCATGACCTCTATATACCACATAAAAAATAGGAACAACATTCATTACTTGATGGGCACTTGGGTTGGTGGATTGATCCCATAGTGTACAGTGCTACGGTGTATAGTGCTGCTAGTAAATATGGGTATGCAGATGTCTCTATTTTGTGCCAATTTACCTAACTTGGGATATATGCTTGGGAGTGGCATGTCAGGAACATATGGTAGTTCTCACTGTAGTTTCTCGAGGAACCTCCACACCGATTCCAATAGTGGCTACACTAATGGGCACTCCTAACAGTGTTTAAGTGTGTAAGTATATATACACAGTGTATAATCCTCATCAGCATTTGTCATTGTTGGTCTTTTTGATGGCACCCATTCTGACTGTGATAAAAATGGAATCCCAATGTCATTTTTGACTTTATTTCTCTTATGGCTAAAAATGGAATCATATATATATTTATGGGCCATTTGAACTTTTTTTTTCAAAATGCTTTGTTTAAGTTTGTCTACTTATTAATACGGTTATTTCTTTGGGTCTTTAATTTTTGGAATTTTTAATATACTCTGAATATTAATCCTTTATCTTTTTTTTTGTCATGGGGCCTGAACTCTGGGCCTGGGCACTGTCCCTCAGCTCTTCAGCTCAAGGCTAGCGCTCTACCACCTGAGCTACAGCACCACTTCAGGCTTTTTCTGCTCATGTGGTGCTCCGGAATGGAACCCATTTGCAAGGCAAACACTCTACCACTGAGCAACCTTCCCAGCTCTTAATCCTTTATCTTATGAATAGCTGGCAAAGATTTTTTTCCCATTCTGTGAGTTGTTTCTTCATTCCAATAGTTGTTTCCTTGATATGCAGAAAGTTTTGTGTTTTTGTTTTTTTTTGGTAGGTCCTGGGGCTTGAACTCAGGGCCTAGGCACTATCCCTGAACCTCTTTATGCTCAAGGCTAGCGCTCTACCACTTGAACCACAGAGACACTTCTGGCTTTTTCTGAATAGTTTATTGGAGATAAGAGTCTCTCCGACTTTTCTGTCTGGTCTGGCTTTGAACTGCAATCCTCAGATCTCAGCCTCCTGAGTAGCTAGTCTTACAGGTGTAAACCAGATTTCAGCCTCCTGAGTAGCTAGGATTACAGGTGTAAGCCAGTGGTGCCCAGCTGATATGCAGAAAATTTTCATTTGAGCAATCCCATTTGCTATTTTTGGTGCTTCTTTTCTTTTTTTTTAATTAAAAAAAACGGGCAAGATAATGAGTACATTTCTTTCTTTTTTTTTGTTGGTCGTGGGGAACTCTGGGCCTGGGCACTGTCCCTCAGCTCTTCAGCTCAAGGTGAGCGCTCTACCATTTGAGCGCTCTGCCACTTCCGGTTTTCTGGTGGTTTATTGGAGATAGGAGTCTCACGGTCTCTCCTGCCCGGGCTGGCTTTGAACCTCGATCCTCAGATCTCAGCCTCCTGAGTAGCTAGGATTACAGGCGTGAGCCACCAGCGCCCAGCTAATGAGTACATTTCTTATCAAGCATTGTAGCCTCCTCCTTTGTTTCCCCTTCCCATCTCCCCCCCCCCCCCACTCTTCCTCCCCCCTGCCCACCAAAGTTGTAAAGTTCGTTTTTCGACATAACTACTTGTCCATCTCATTGTTGTAATGGGTCCACCTGTATCCCTATTTAAACAATTTGTTTTTTCCCTTCCCCTCCACAAATTATACTGACATCAAATACAGTGAAAGCAGGGGTTATACCGTAGGGGAGGGACATACAAAGCAACAAAGAAATAATCTTATAAATGTGTTAGAAACAATCGCATGAAAGAAAAAAAAACATTTGAATACATATCTTAGGGGGTATTTATTTTCTTATGCCTGCATCTTCTAGTATTTTCTCTGTTTCCTCTACTAGTTCTGAGGTATCAGGTCTTGCATTAAGATCTTAAATCCACCCTAGTTTATGGTACATGTGCATGAACAAACACATACAAATATACACAGAAAAGATTTTTGATCCACTTTGAACTGATTTTTGTTCAGAACTAGATAGAGGAATATGCTATATGTGGATTTTCAGTTGTCTCTGCCCCATTTGTGCTTTTGGCATCTTAGTAAAAAAAATTAGATGGCTGAAGCCTTGTGGGTTCCCCCCAGGGTAGTATATATTCTTTACCTGGATCTATATGTGTAAGCACCAAAATTGTTTATTACTATGGTCTTGTAGTATAATTTTAAGTACAAATTTTAGGTTTTCCATCTCCTTAGATTTATTCTTAGGTATTTATTATTTTTTGAGGCTATGGATAGAACAGTTTTCTTGACTTTGTTCCCATTATGAGTATATAGAAAATCTACTAATTTTTGAGCTTTGCTATTTTCCAAAAGTGTTCATCAAATCTAAGAGGTTTTTGGTGTCATTTTTCACGGAAACATAAAAATCAATCTAAAAATTTATATGTTAACACTTATGTATACCTTTTTTTCTATTGATTCCCCTGTGTTCTGATAATGTACAGAAAATCATTTCATTTTTCTGACATTTGTTAAGGCTGACTTAGTGTCCTAAAATATCTGTTTTGGAGAAAGTTCTGTAGGCTGGAAAGAATGTATGTTCTGGAGTTTTTCAGTAGAGTATTCTGTAGATGTCTGTTACCATATATTGTTTAATTATGAAGTTTCCTTACTGATTTGGGGATGCATCTATCTCTTGGCAAGAATGGGATATTAAATCACCTGACACTGTTGGATGAAATTGGGTGTGCTAACATTTGTGTATATCCTTTTGGTAGATTGTCCTCCTTTTTTTTAAATCAATATTAAGTGACTTTGTCAGATATGATATGGCTGTTCCTAACTGCTGTCAGATACCACTTGCCTTTTCCCCCCATCGTTTACTTTAAGCCTGCATTTGTCTTTACCAGTGAGGTGAGTTTCTTGGAGGCATCAGATGGTTGTCTTTCTTTTTTTTTTAAATTATAGCTTGCCAGTCTATGTATTTTTGAGATTTCAGATCATTAATACTCAGAATTTTAAAGACAATAAGCAACATAAAAAATATATTCAGAATTACTTTTTAAAACCTTAAAGCACCTATAAAACACATCATGCTGGTTTGGCAACCATCAACAATCCCATAAACCCAGTTTTTCTTCTAATCTGCTGCTCTATAAGCACCTGATTGTGTTTAGGGCCACAGGAGGGGATGACAGCATTTGTAGACATTCTTACCAACCTTTGCTAAGGTAACTGCACTACAATGATCTCCTGGCAATAGAGAGCTGCTGAGGGAAGAGCAGAGTCACGTTTCATGCTCTCTCTGAAGGCCTGAGTGTCTGAGAGATATGCTGATCAGACATTCCAAAATGATCTGAATTATCATTTCATTCACTTTTGGGGGGACAAAGGGAGAGATTCTGTCTTTCATCTGTCACATTTCTTTTGCCATACTCTTTTAAGTGCAGAGACTACATCTTACAAATATTCACATGACCTGAAGCACCTGGCCTTTTGCTTGTAAATATTTACATGGGAGCTGCTTGGTATATAGTCTGCTGATAGATGGGGGAAAATGACCAATAGCAGTGTTACCCTATGAGCAGCAAAGGTTCAATAGAAACTATACTGTGCAAATCAATCTATTTATACTCTGGTGACATTAGTAGAAAGGGACAGCTGGGGAGTGAAGGCTAACCTGCTGCCCCCTTACCTTCCTGGGCACTGCTCCAGCAGAGGAATGAACAACACAGGCACCAGAACAGCAGATCCATTTCATGAAACCCTGCCTGGGTGACATAAAGGCGCCAGGCACAGCTGCAACAGGTTTGTTCAGCGCAAAGGCAGCCCTGGGGTAGCTGACATGCAGCTGACGGGAGCACAGGCTGCTGGCCATGGCAGCAGAGCCGGAGCTCCAACTTACATGTGCTCCCAGACATCCGTGGTCATTCCTAACGAACAACCCAAACCCCTGGTTCAAGTCACAGATGTCAAAAACCAACATTAGGTCAAGTGTCTACCTAGGGGAAGATTTACCTTCTATCTGCAAATGAGTCTTGAATAATGTTAATTAAA